TAGCCTAAACCATATGGTATATCTGACACTTGTGCTATGAAAAAAACATGATTTGTTGTTAATATAAGTTATAATCATGGATGCCTGACAACATTTACAAATATTAGCATTATTTAAATAAGATAACTAATGTAATCATGTTGATAATTTATAATCCGATTGGAACCTCCTTTGTTTGTGGTTTTCAGTTGAATAATAAGAGCTTCTACTATACTTGTTTGAAGTACCATTAGTGGATCCTCTAATCTTTAATTTATTTTTATCATTGTTTAATCCTCACATTGATCTTTCATCTTAAAGTTCTCATCAACTTCTTTATTATTGTTGTTGTTGTTGTTTATAATTTATACAATTAACTTCCCTATGGTCAATCCTAGTCTTGTCTAGTTATTTATTACTTCAATACTCCTGCACTTAGGATAATAAATCAATCTTTTGGTTGTGTCAGATATTCTTATTGGTATCGAGCACCCAATCTAAGGAATTTATGGCCTTGCATCAACACACGACTCATCTCACCGAGAAATATGAGCAACTATTGACATGAACAAAAGATTGATGTCTTCTCCCAATTGCAAGAGTGTCGAAGTAATAAATAACTCAGCAAGACTAGGGTCGAACTACAGGGAGGTTAATTGTACAAATTATAAATAAATACAACAACAACAATAATAGTAGTAACACTAATATTAATAGTAATAAGAATATTAATAATACTAATAATAATAATAATAATAATAATAATAATATTAGTAGTAGTAGTAGTAGTAGTAGTAGTAGAATAAGAAGAAGAAGAAGTTGATAAGAACTTTGAGATGGAAGATTAACGTAAGGATTAAACAATGATAACAACAAATGTCAAGGTTAGAGGATCCACAAATGGTATGTCAAACATGTATAGTATAAACTCTTATTATTCAATTGGAAACCACACACAAAGAAGGTTCCAATCAAATTATAAATTTTTAACATGATTATATTAGTTATCTTATTCGATTAATGTTAATTCTTGTAAATCTCGTTAGGCATTCATGATTATAATTTATGTTAACAACAAAGTTAAAATTGAGAACTATTGATTTGATAACTAATTGATGAGTGGGTGACCAACTCTTGACTTGGTGACAATCTTTATCTTCTCTTGTCTACCCAAAACATCATTGATGACATTAAAATTAAAACCATTTAAAAACATAAAAGTTATAGAAAATTATCTCAGCTTTCCAGGAAAAAAAATGAAAGTTATTCAGACTTCTAGAACTCTAGATATAGGCCAAACACTGAGCAGTGTTTGGGCTGCAGGACAAGACAGATTCAGACTTCTTCATTATTACTACAATTTAAACTTAAAAATGGCCTTATTAAATCTTTGAAAGGGCCTTATTAAGCTCCATATGAAGGTTGTAGGCCTATGTCTTACCTTTCCATCTTTATAAAGTAGACCGAAATCCAAGATCTACAGCTGCAGCTATGACCCAATTACCAAACAGTGTTCCAGTTTGGACTGCACCAACATCTCTTTTCTAAGTTTAGCCATCTCTTTGTCCTTTCAATTTCAGTTCTTAAACTCATCAGTCAATCCTTTCATTTATGTGATAGACCTACATTTAAAATGAACATTTACCATAAATTAAAGGTATCTTATATTATTAGATATGTTAGTATAAAACATACTTTAGTTAAGGAGTTATTGATACTTCAAATGCAAAATGTTGATATAAAACCTTGATAAAAATACACTTTAAGTACTAATCAACTATCAACGAATTATGAACAATAGAAGGCTCATCTCACCGAGAAATACGAGCAACTCTTGGTGAATTATGAACAACTTCGTCAAATGGTTATGAACTTGACATTATAGAGTGATGTTACCCGTGTGTCCTCTTTTTAGTTTTATGATTCCGGAAACAATCAGCCTCCTCCTCCTCCAGCTCTGTCATTATGCTAATTTAATATTTTTTTGAAAACACATTCAATTTGTAATGATTATTATTTAATTTAATTTTTTTATTTTTTATGTTTAATAAAATTTTATTTGCATAATTGGTTTTTTTACTATTTATTTTTTAATTTTATATTATTTATTCTAAATAATTTTTTAAAAAAAATAAAAATACACACCGATGAATTTACAGACGGAATGTATCAGCTAGCATTTTACAGAGAGCGAAATGCCACACTCACCGATGAATTTACAAACGGATACAATCCGTTGGCATTTTACAAAGAGTGGTGAAAATGCCACACTCATCGACAACATTGCAGATAGAGAGAGTCTGTTGGTATTTTATCAAGAGTTGAAAAGTATTTACTGGATATACCATTATCACCGATAGAATAAAGTCGTCAGTATATTTTCAGCGAGAATTTTTTTGGCATGTATTTTCTGTTTGTAAAACCATCAACAATATTTTTTTTTATTGACAGAGTTAGCAGTAAAATGTTGTATTACAGACAAAAAACATGCTAACAGACACTTTCCATTAGTGATTTAGTTGATAAAAAAATTACCGACGGGGTCTAAATCTTACACCAACGGATATAATGATTCTTTGCCTCTATAGGGATCTTATCACTAAGACTCAAATGTTGAACACTTTTATTTATGTCATCAAGAGTCTTAATAATTTTATCATTCTAAGCTTTCTCAAAGGCCACATATGAATGGATTCCTCAAGACAAAGTATTCTATTATATAACTGTTATTGTTCCTCTGACAGCTTAAACAATCAATCGATTTAGATTGGTTAAGCTAACCAGTCAACCAGCTTCTACAGAATTCTTATGTGTTCATCACTAATGATAAGCGGTTAACCAGTTCATGTAAAATTCTAGATTTTAATATTTTAACCTAGGTGAATTCTTCTAATCATCTATCTTAAATTTTATCATCAATCATTTAATGTTTACAGAGTGAAGTGTGTGAGTTTATTTTAATTGTACTATCGAGTAAGATATACATTTGTACACTAAAATGAGCATTTATTCTAAGTTTTCATTTTGCTTCCTTTTTGGATTTCCTGATTGATTTCTTTATGAAATTCATCATGCTTGTTTACGTGTGTTATTCATACAAAATTTAATTTATTCTCAACTAGGCATATTATTAATTTATTTTTTATTTTATTATTATCAGTTTGTCCTTAAATTACGGATGTCTTGCTTCTCTTTTTTATTGTTTGCCTCTTGCCTTGATGTTTCTTCCATTGATGTGGGTGTTGCAATCTGGGAATTTCCTTATGAATTCTGGGTTGTCCTGGTGGTTCGCGGGTATTGCTTTTAATTCTGCTCTACCAATATGGTATGCTCCTTGTTGTTGCAGGCGTGTTTTAGTCTATGGAGATGCGTGTGTTGGCTAATACAATAAGAGAATGAATATCCTGTTTTTAGTTCTCTTGCATGTGTTGTTTTCTTATAGATGTTGTCAAGTGTGAACTCTAAAACCAGTGACATAGAATGGTTGGATGTCCTTTCTTTCTCTCTCTCTCTCTCTTTTCTTTTAGGTGGTCTTCGGTTGTATAAAAACATAAGAAATGAGTGAAATATGTTGTTCATTCAAATATACAATTTGGGTTTTCTTACAAGCCTTGAATTCTTATTCTCAAATTAGGTAAATGGATGTCTGAGATTTAGAAACACTCTAATGAAATAAAATCGTCCTCCTTAATCATAGTGGTATACTAAATTAGGTAATGGAATGTATAGCATGCCGAGAAGAGATTTTTTGTACTAGAGGTTTGAGGTGCCCGTGTTAGATCCTTGTTAACTACGTAATTTGTTGGGTCATCCATCCTTCCTCCACCCTTATTTCTATCCTTCTTGCCTTTTCTATGCAAAGGAACATCCTCCTCCAATCTTTGCTTCCCAATATCTTCCCATGGTTTCTTCACATTGAAGGTTGCAAAAATAGCAGCGTTGATAGCAGCCAACATGTGAAAAATCATTGTTTAAAACCCGAATTAGCCTGGCAAATCAACCCTGCACCCGGGCCTCACCCCAGGTCACCTCCTTCCTTGGGTTTTAAACCTATAATTGTCGCAGTGAAAAACAAAAACGTGTAGTGCTGGTTCCCTTTTTTCAAAACTAATGGCATAATATGACTCATTCGAAACCATCATCAGAGTACAAAAGAAAGTTAAAAAAAAATAAAAATCTAATGATTTTTTTTAGTTTTCCTTCATGTAACAGGTAACAGCATTGGGGGGATGGGACAAAGCAATAGAGAGAAAAAGCACGAGCAATTTATTTGTTTATATGTTTCAGAAATATTTTTAAAAAAAATTAAATTTTTATTATTTTTTTATTAACTTCAAATTAATATATTTTTAATATTTTCAAACTATTTTGATGTATTAATATCAAAACTAATTTTAAAAAAATAAAAAAATATCATTAATATATATTTTTACACAAAAAAACTATTTAAAAAATAATCACAATCATATTTCCAACCAAACACTAAACTGCAGCCAAAAACACAAAGGATGCTGTACCCGGGAGCTCCAGAACTTCAGAAAAGGAATAAAAACAAAATCTCGGTAGTCAGCGGCCCTAAGAGGTGCCACTGATTCCCCCAATATACTATACAAAAACCATATTTTCCCTGCATCCAAACCATAAAAACACGTGCTGCTAACTTTCCCATCGCAACAAGCTTGTATTTTAGGCAATTTTCCCATTAATGGGTGATCATGCAAGTAAAATGATTGTAATTTAAACCTGTTGATACAGCATTAAATCAAAGTAATTTTCAGATGAAATTTGCTTAAATGCATCATGACAAATTTTGTTCTGTAGTTTTTTTTATATAAGGAAACAAAATAACCTTCCCTGTACAAAATGGAAAATGTAAAGCTAAAATAATTTTCATATTTAAAAAGATTTAATTTCCTGTTATATTCTTATTAAAAGGAAAATCTCTTATATTACTTTGTAAATCTTTCCTGTATTAAAATTTTTTATATAAATGCATTTATTATTCATTAATTTATTTCCCCTATAATACCGGTCTATGAACCTGGTTAAGTATAAATATAGCTTTGAAGGTTGGACTCTCTTGAAAACATTTTACATTGTTGATGAAGTCTAAATCATCTACAGGATTGTTAAAGGTAGATTTTGTCTGCTCTTTTGGCTGCCAATATTTCAGCTCAGCTCATCTAGCTTGTAGTTCTTCTTCTTTTAACTCTTAAATCTTTATTCATGAAAGAAACACAGCTTTGTTTTTGTCAAGTGTTTTCTCTTTTTTCTACCATCTATTTAGCTAACAAGCTCCTTTTTTTTCTTTTTTTGATACTTCGCAAGCAGAAACTCCAGCTTGAAGACTGAACAGCAAAGATGGACGTGATGTTTGGTATCTTAATCTCAGTTGCTATAATCCTGGTTTCCACACTTCTTTTCTGGGTGTGCCGATGCATCGTTAATGAACCTAAGGAAGCAGCAAAAAAGATAGCAGAAGGTGTTAAGGATCTCACGGGTCAAGACCCCCCAGTGTAACCATCAAAGGGATATAATGACCAGCTTCGTGCCTCTCATCCCATGGATACAAGGCACTAACAGGTCCCTAGTTAATTAATATCTTCAAAATTTAGTTGGAATGGAGTCGTTGGTGTTTAAGTTGTGACTGTGGGGCTTTTATTTGGTTCCCCAAATTTTCATCGGAACTTTTGCATTGAATCAAGTTAATTTTCATATCAAATTTGTTTACATATATTATAAAATCTCATTCAGTAGCTTTCTTTTCTATCCTACTGAAAGATAAGTTTAATATCAAACAATGCATATATATGTGACAATCCACAAGATATGCTAGTTGAGAAGGCATACCCAGAAACAAGTTTTAAGCAGGAAACCCAAGCAGTTACTTACCACTGCAATCCCAAGCGGACAATTTCCTCACAGTTCCTACTTTCTGTTGTTAATGTCAGTTCCTGGACTTGATCAACACATTCACCAAAATTTTCATCACATCTTTAGCAATCTCAGCTCTTCCCTCTTACTTCTTCTTCTCTGTTTTCGACTCTGTAAATAAATTGTTTTGAACATCGTGAAAAAAATAAGCAAATTTAAGAGCATCATAGCAAGCCCCTGACCCATATCCTACCTATACATAACTGGCAACTGGTTTTGAAAACTTATATATTAACTTCACAAATGGTTGTCCTCGTTCTCAATTATTAGTAACTAAATTTCAAAACCATTTCAGACAAATTAGCTAAATGACTAGACACCAGGTGGGGAAACCATGTAGAACCCCATCAATCATGTCTGCATGAAGAAACTTTCTAGGAGTAAACTAATGGATCCCAACTGCATGTCAAGTAAACAGCAACAGAAATGGCAAGGATAAAGCTGTGTTTGCTTTTAGAAATCAATTTTTCAATTCTCTACTCTGTTTTTCATCTTTCTATAATCATCTCTCAAGAAAACTTGTTTACCAACAAATAATTTTCTAAAATATAGAACAAGGGCCGCATTTGGATTGTTTCTAAAATAAAAAGTTATGGAGATTGAATAATTGGTGAGCCAAACATGGCCCTTGTTTTCTGAAGTTGAAAATTAGGGAAACAGCACGTAGCAGTTTCCAGTTTACTAAGAAAATTGGGAAAATAGAACACTGTTTCCAAGAAAACAGTAACTAGTAACATGTCATCCACAACTTTCTATTTTCTAGGGAAAAAAAAGAGAAATCTGAAAACTTTTGCACAAGTAAACATGACCTAGATTTTTTTCTGGAGTCCAAATAGAAATCCACAAGGTTGTCTGAAATCAAATATATGCATGTGAAAGTAGCCTGACGACTTTTAAATGTCATAAAGAATATCTTGTATAGAGATCAGTAACTAGTCAACACATAAAATCAAACTTAGCGAGAGACTAGTGAAATAAAACCAAATATTGAGAGAACTAAACAAATAGAAGACCATGCAGTACCTTCTAACTGGAGAACATTCATCATTCTTGAGTGTTTTCTGCCCAAGCTCCAGCTCTTCATCAAGCATTAATGTTTTGGCAAATCCAGCACTTCCTTTGGAGACACTGATTGTGTCATCTTCCTCAGCATTCTCTCCAGCTTGGCCCTCAGAAGCCTGAGCTTTCAGTGACACTGCCTGCTGAGAAGATGCTGGAATCCACTTTGACCAATTATCTCGTTTCCGAACCTTGTCACCCTATTGATACAATACCAACAACAAATGGGAAGACAATTAGAACAAAGAAATAAAGAGTGAAAGAAGAACCATAAGTTGTCAGTCTATCCAACAATTCCAGTTACAATGTTGTATTATAGATGGCTATAACATTAAGCACTTGAAACTTGTTCATTTACTAACAGACTCAAGCACCTTAGGCTCCCAAGTTCCAGGCTATCAATGTGGGCTCCACTCAATGCTAAACTATATTTAAAGAAATACCCCCCAACATGTTCTCATTCACATAAACAGATTGCAGAACATTTGCCAATATTCCATCACAAAATTGGCTGAAACTGACACAACTAGGAAACAATTTCAGCTACATTTCAAACTGGCTAAAACCACATCTCAGGAAAACAGTGATGAACTTTTAGAAGGCCATGGAGGTCAGATTGATTAATCATAAAGTCAGAACATTGGACCATCCAAAGAGATCCATTGTTTCAACAATTTAGACAACTTTTTTTGTCTGATATGTCAATCAAAAATTAATAGGGAAGAAAATATCCATTTATCAGAACACATTATTGATTGATAGACTAGAATCCCATCACAAAATTTCAGATCCATCCCAGCCACGATGCACCCACATTAAGAAGCAAAAAGTCAGTTGGTGAGGAGAAATCAGACCTTCACTTCTATAGAGCCAGAACACTTCAGCGCATCAAGGATAAAAGATATGTCCACAGTCATTTTCTTAACCTGAGATACAAAATATCACATGCATTACTCCAATAAATTCTTCAACTCAAGATATAAAGGAAGTGGATATATATTGAGTAATATAGCATAACAACTTTACATGCAATATTGAATGAAATAACAGACACCTAAAAAAACTTTAAATAGAATAAGATCACACACAGCGCTACATGTATGAATACCAAATAGCATTCAAAAACATACCCTTTTAAATTCAGCAATCGTGGATACCGGAACCCATCCTTGATCATCCATTAAGGATATTAGATAATGGTCATTCTTGAGATTTTCATCGCTGTCATAAAGATGTAAAACAGTTACCACATAATTGAGCCATTGACCAACCTTTTGCAGTCAGTTCACTATAAAAAGTTTCAAAGCCATATTTTGGGGTTTTCATTAAAAGGCTTGGTTGCTATTGCTCTGGTTATAAGTGTATGGATGTACAGACAACACTGCCATCCAACACTAATGATAACAATTATTTAGCCATAAAAAGGCCACGATACTCGAAGTAACTTGTCGTAAGTTGGACTTATGAATACCATCCGAACAATCATATCTTTGATAGTCCAATTTAGGCTTAGCAAGTAGATCCCTTTTCCTTTATAAATGTGTATACAAAAGGTCAAATTTAATGATGCTGAAGAATCATGATAACAGCATCTTAAGGATGATGGTGATTTTCAGCCTCACAGTCATTTGTGGCAATTTTCAACCCATTATGTGTGGAAAGAGATAATACAGAAGGGAGTAACTTTTTAACATTCCTTACCTGAAATAATACTCTATTTGTCCTGCAATGCTAGCCCTCAAAGCTATTGTCTCTTGGGGAAGCACAGAAGCCCCTGAATTAATTGGATATGGAACAAAACAGGAAGGTTGAGGTCCCCTAAGAGAGCCTGGAGGTGCAACTGATACGTAGCATATAGGTGGTGGTCCTGTACAACATGAAGAGGTCATATTGAACAGCACTTAATTTGACAGAAAAGGATTTCAAAAACCATAGGGAAAACCAGGAGCTGTACAAGAAACAGGTTACATCCTCTATGAGCAGAAAAGCATATATTACATAAATGTAGGTGAATGTCATTGTGCAAAAAAAGAAAAAAGAGCAACTAGCACTGATATCTTGAGTAAAAGCACTTGGCATCAAAATAAAATAATTACCAGGGAATGTTGGACCAATCATGTACCCTGGAGGTGCGGCCAAAAAAGGTGGCCTTACCAATGGCCTTGGTCCCATAACCTGTTGCAGCGGGATGTTATCTCTGGACCCAAATGCCCGTTGATGATGCCATGTTGGATTCAAATGGCCACCAGAGTCTTGCATGTTAGGTCTTCGATTTGGAAAGTTAACAGCATAAGCATTGGGATCCCCTCTGGGTGGAGGCTGGACATTTATAGATGGAGCGAAAGGTTGCATAGGGGGTCCCGTCTCTGATCCAGACTTTATCAAATGAGTTTCAACTGTGGGAAAAGATGCAGGGCCAGGTTGATATGGATAGCCAGAAACAGAAAAGTGTGGGGGAGGTGCCATAGCTGGGAAAACTGGTGACATGGCTGGTTGTTGGTAAGGGAATGGCATGGAGAAAGGAGGTGCCCCATTAGGATTGCGCTTAGATCCTGATTTTTTATGTCTTGACGATGCATGTTTATTTGATGTATTTGTATATCCAGATCCATGTGATTTATGCTGCCCAGCTGATCCCTGGGCAAACCATAAAAAGGGAAAATGATGTTCCACAATCCAATTAAGTTCACTAAGCAATTTGCCCATCAGAAAGAAAACAGCTGGTATAAGAGTGGAAAAAAGTAAACTTGGCAAACAAGCTGCAGGAAGGTAAAGAATTCATCTTTGAAACTCCATGTTGGTAATAACCATAAAACTTGTTGCATTCCTATTTTTTATCCCAGATAACAACCAGCTTTTTAAGTATGCTTTTGCAAGCAAAACAAGTTTTCACAGGACCATCAGATACCCTGTAATGGGCCTTTCAGCATCATAAAGATATCTGCGTATATATTAGGTTTATGGAACTCTAGCTCTATTAATTACATCATAACCAGACAAAATGCATCTTACAACCAAAAAACAAATGAATCATGGTAACTTTCCAATAAGTTATGCCACAACATCAAACATAAAACAGAATTTGACATGATTTAGATCGTGTTTATACCTGCAAAACTTTTCAGATTTTCAGAAAGTTTCGAAGAAACGGAAATGGGTTACTGAATTGTTTTCTCAAGAAGCCTGGTTTTTTAATCCAATTTCTGCAAAACAAAACTTTTTATAGTTCTCCATTTTTCTTTCAGGTGTGAAGGAAAAGCTTGTTTCCAGCATTTGTGTCTCTCAAGAAATAAGTTAGTCAATTTTTTTAAATTCCAGCAAATCATTTCCTATTTCAGCAAGTACACGCATGTTCATCTTTAACAAAGAAATGAATTGGAAAATGGTGGTAAAAAATGCAAAATGAAAAATCAGAGCCCTCTTTTTCATCAAATCATATTACTATACACCAAAAAGAAACCTCCACAATGACTGCATGGAGGATACTATTTTGTGAAGTAATCATCAATAGCCCGTGCTCAATGCTCTAGTATTGTTTAAATATAGAGATAGCATACATTTATATAAAAAATTTTCCTGCAACATTTCCATTGCTAATGTTAGATTTATGTCCTTCTGAAGCATGATACTATAGATTTATTTCTGGACAGAAGTGGCGCCAAATAAAAATACTAAAAATCAATGACTCGCCATGGCTTTCCACTAATTGATCAAATCTCTCACTCCTATACAAAAATATCCCATTAGAATCCCTGACACCAAAACAAAAAACATTTCTTTATCTTTGTTCAAACTACTAGTAGTCGTCAAGTTCACACTTCTTCTTAACCTACAAATTTCATTATCATTAACTATTATCATATCATCAAATTCTCTTATCCTAAGCTTTTTTTACTCAAAGCTTAACTTCCCTTAATAATTTAAAGCCAAATCTTCACTATTAATCTGTAATATTAACACAAATATCTTACATGAATTTAAAAGCTTCGTTATTTTTATTTTTATTTTTCTTTTCAATCCACAACAAGCTCAAAAGCATTTCAGCACATACCTATAACTTCAATTTTACTAGCAAAAAAAAGAAAGAAAGAAAGAAACATTTTTAATAAGCTTCCTTTTGAAACTTTATTTCTTTCCCTAAAAAAATTAATTTCACATTAAATTTCTTCATTTATTTAACAGGAGAAAAAAACTAATAATACCCGAGGTGAAGCTGCCGGTGGCGCAGCCTTATCACCACCGCCAGCAACCATCAATGGCAGCTGCGGCGGCGTCTTAGAAGCAGAATCAGTCAGCTTCGACCGATGTTGTTGCTGTTGTTGTTGAGCATCAGAAAGAGCAGGCCAAAACTCGGCGGCGCCCATCACCGGAGCATCAGCGACCACCGGAGACTTCCACGGCGACTTCGGTCCGACCGCACTACTATTTTGATCATCTCCACTCTCATTTTCCGCCATCACCATAACACTACTACTCTCTATCTCGCACGCGATCACAGTGATTAAAATCCCTAATTAGAGAGAAGAAGGAAGAAATGTACAGTGGCAAAGTTGTGATTATTGAAAAAGTGAGGAGTGAAAAGGAAAGCAAGTGAGTGAGGAAAAAGAAAACAGGAGGAGAAGACGACAGCAGCTTCTGCGAGCGTGTTGTTGAGGTTGTTTATACAGTGGAGCGGGGAAAGTAAAAGTGGTGTCTTTTCTCACTGTTTCCAGGGATTTTTTTGACAGAACATGGAGTGTTGCGCCGGAGTGGAAGTAGAGAATAAAGTGTGTAGATAGCAAGAATAGGGTCCTTGTTGTCTTTCGGCTAAAACTGAACTGTTTGTCAACGGGCAAAGTGACAAAAGATACACGCTCTGAAACCCTAGGTTTGGAGTTTAAAACTTTGACGTGGTTGGGATGGGCTGTGCTTGGCTAGTATGGGCTGGGCTGAGAAGTATGCTATGGGCTTTTTAATACACTAGTGTTAGTCTTTTATTAACTTAGTTCATTTTAATTTGATTTTTATATAGTTTTTAATCTTTTGAATTCATATTTTTTCATAATTTTATTTTTCAGTACTAAATTTATTAAAAATTAAGTTTTATAATTATTTTTTGATATGCGTTATGTGAGATTATTACGGTCTCATAACTCAACTCATGAATTTTGTAGGTTAGCCATGTAAATTTAGGTATTTTTCTTGTTTTTTTAAATAATTTTTTTAATATCATTATTCAATAGTAATTTGATTGAGAATTGAGTTTTATATTTTTTTTATTTTTTTTCTATAAAATTATCTCAATCTTTTTATCCATGTTTGACAAGATAACCTAATTGATTCAAATCATTTTTTATCTTCTTTTTATTTGTTTTTAATTTAATCATTCAATATATGATTAATTAGGAATTAGATTTTATAATTTTTTTATTTATTTTTCTATGAGTGTTATCTTAATCTTATAACTTAAGTCGAGAATTAGATTGGTTAACTTGAGTTTTTTTTATCTTTTTTTTAAGTTTAGTTTTTTTTTAATTTTATTTTTTAATATTAGATTGATTGAGAATTAAGTTTTATAATTTACTTCAGTTTGTGTTATATGTTATATGAAGTTATTTTTGTTTCATGACTTAGTTCACAATGTAGTCAGTTGACTCAAGTAGTTTTTTATGTCATTTTTTAATTGATTTTTTTGAGTTTATCCTTTAACATTAAATTGATTGAAAATTAAGCTTCATAATTTATTTTGATTTGCTTTTTATGAATTTATCTAATTAAATAAAGTAATATTTAATCAAAATGTAACTAAGATTTAGATATTTTACACCATAAAAAAAATAAATGGGAAAGAAAATGGGAAAAAGCATGAAGATCAATTCCAAAAAACTAAATGTTAAAAGATAAAATTAAAAAGGATTTAATTTTTAAAAAAAATCTAAAAAAAATTAAAGTCAATTTATACAAACCACTTAAACTCGTGACCATAATTAGAAAACCAAGACAGGCAACGTAAAAGGTAGACAAAAAACACATAGAGCAAAATGCTCAATAAAACAATGCTAGGTTATGATTTTGAAAAATAAACATTAAAAAAATATAAATCAATTTAAATTGATCCGTTAATCTCATGAATATGGGTATAGAAGAGATAACCCTATAGAAAAAGAAGAGAAGCAAATATACAAGCATGAAGACCAATTTAAAAAATCAATTGTTCAATGATAAAATTAAAAATATATATAAAGACCTAAAAAATACCAAAATCAACCTGTGTTAACTTTCAAAACCTGTGATATTGGTCATAAGGCTAAGGCTAAACTCATGAAAGGCCCATTTTTTTTTATAAAAAACAAAACACTAATGTTGAATTTTAAAATTAAAAAAGAGAATAAAAAAAATATATGTTGACCCAGTTTAACTTTCTAAACTAATGAACCAGCAAAAATGGTAAATTCAATCCCTAGCAAATTAAACATTGAATTATGAAACCTAAAAAAAAACAATTACACCTCATAAACTAAAAAAATATGGGTGAAAACAAAAACAAAAATAAAATAAAAAAAGGGTAACCAATTTTATTTTTTTTAAGGGTCAAATTGAAAAGATAAAAAAACTCAAAAGAATGATGACTAGATTAAAAACAAAATAACACCTTATAAACTTAGATTAGAGAATAAAATTTAAAATCAATAAAAAATTTATAAAAAAAAACGATAAGAAAATAAGAAATCAAAATAATAAGGACCAAATCAAAAAATAATAATAATATATAGCAAATTAGAATTTAAAAACTAAATTGAAAAGAAATAAATTTTTTTATAAAAAGATCAAGAACAAAATTTAAAAAAAAATAAAGATTGAAGTTAAAATATCAAAAGCAAAAAAGGCTTACTTACACTTTTTAGGAGAAGAGAGTAGAGGACAAAAAGGATCACCGATGACAAATTATTATGCTAGCGCCAATACATGCCACACTAGAAGAAAAAAACGTAACAATGTTTCTATTAAAAAGATTGAAAAGGCATGTTTGACTACCAGAAAACACCACATTCTTTTCCCAAAAAACATGGGTGCCTCACACGTGCTAGCACGTGATTATCATATGTTTGCACCTTTTTCAATTTTAATATTAATTAATCAACCCAAAATACTAATTTGCCTTCAATAATTTTAAAAATAACAAAAAAAAAACTATGTAAAAACATGGAATAACTCGTAGACTAATGATTTTTCAAGTCCGGAGAAAAATATGTCTTTTCATTGTATATAAAAATAAAACAAAAACTAAAATATCCTAAATAACCATATTATAAATCTTTGAAATTGAAGGTAAATAAGTTATTTGATTGTTCATAAAAAAATCATAAATATCCCTGTCAAATAGCAAATTACTATTTGATCAAGAAAAAAAATCAATATACTCACCATAATTACCATATCTGATAGGCATTTTAATTTTTATTATTTGAGAAAATATATTTTTTTATTGTAATAATAAATATATGCACAATATTTTTTTTCTTTTTCTATGCTAAATAAGTGTTTGTTAGTTTAATTTAATTATATGCATAAATAGGCTTTTGTATATCTATCGTCTATCGATACTAGAGGGGTTTACAGTTCGGTTCGATTCGGTCTAAACTTAAAAAACCAACTGAACCAAATTACATTAATTTTATGAAATATTAAACAAACCAGACTGAAAACCAGTTCAAATCAAATTGGTCTAGTTCAATTAAATTTGATTTCTTTTGCAAAAAATAAGGAAACTTAATCCCATCATATATGAGTTTTTTTTTGGATTTTTTTTTAAATTGGCTTATATTAAATTAAGGTTTAAAATTGTCTTTATAAACTAGGAAATTAGAGTTTTTCAAGTTAAATTCAGGTTTTTTAAATGCTAAATGTTTCAAATTAGAATTTAACCTTAAATATATATATATATATATAACAAATACCTGGATCAATGAAACTTTGAATTCACAGCTTGTGAAAGCTTATTATCATAACTTGATTAAATTTGGACTTGAATTAAAATTTGACTGAGATGCAACACTCGAGCTTCCATATCGGTTATTGACTAGATCAATGTTTTTTGAGCTTGTAGAAGCATTTGATAAGAAGATACATGTTTTGTTTCCATCATAACTATCGGCTGACTTATACAACTTCTTTGGAAGCCTATTGATTCAAGTTCACAGCAGATTGAGAATTTCTTTAGGCTAGGTGGCAGCTTACATGCATTATGAGAAAACTGGAAAAGGAAGATTGAGAATTTCTTTAGGCTAGGTGGCAGCTTTTTGTGAGAGGCAAGAAGAGTAAAGTTATGTTATTTGTTAGGGTACTTTTTGTGAGAGGCAAGAAAAGTAAAGTTATGTTATTTGTTAGAATTAGTTAGGTTGCAATTTAATTATTTATATTTCAAAGATTTTTGTAATTTTTGGTTTTTAATGGGTCCGATTTTTTTTGATCCGATTTATGGTTCAAAATCAAAATCGAACAGAATCTATTAAAATTTATGATTTTAAAAATTGGTTTAATTTATTTTTCATTTTTATTTGGTTTTTTTTATTAATTTTTTTTATTTTATCAATTTTATCAATTTATTGATTATTTTAAATACTCTTGTCCAGTCCACTTCATCGGGTGTTGAAAATGTGAATAAAAGGGTCCTTTTTTGTTTTATTTTTATTTTTAAAATACAATACTTTAGTTCCCGAGTTTGTTGTTTCGAATTAGCATTTAAGACTATTTTTTAATGTATCATATTTTTAAGATTGTTTAGGGAAAAAAATTTAATTTTGATTTCTATATAAATTGAATAAAAATTTAATATTAATAATGTGCTCCATCCAGAAAAATATGAAAAACAAAAACCTTATAATCTACATCATAAAAATCATTATCATTTAATTACTTTATATACTTTTTATTTTGAATTTTTTTATTGTTTATCCTTAGTTTTCTTTTATTAAAAGTGTTGATGTTAGGTTTTTTTTTAGTGATGTTTTGAAATTCAATTTTTAAATAATATGAGTATTAGCTTTTTTTGGTGTGAGATCATTTTTAAAATATATTTTTATTTAATTTTGTAATTATTAACGTAAATGCTTGGAAGAATTTGATGATTTAATTTTTGAGTAAAAAAATATCTATTCAGTAAAAATTATAAATGCATTTATTTTTTATTTAACATATTCATGAGTTTTTATTAAAATGATTTTTTTAATTGAGATATACTTTTGATTGTATTTGGATCAGGTCGTATAAAGACAGATACAAAAATAAATAAATTAAAAATGTATATAAAAAACATAAAATAAACATACTTACCCCCCTTCCTTTGCTTTTCCATCTAATAAAAATAACTACATTTTTCGTTAACCGACTTACAATCAATCCATTTCTAGGAAGACACGCCATTGTCTGTCTCCTTCCCGTATAAATACAAAAGACGAAAATCTCTTAACCCTAAAATCCTTCTCTCTCTCTCTCTCTCTCTCTCTGTATCTCCGATACCAAAAAGATGTCCAAGTTTCCATTGTCATGCAAAGATAGAAGAACCCAGAAGAGGATTCAGGGCTTCTCAGAGCTAGAGATAGGCGTGGCTTGGCAACTAGTGCAAATGAGCAGGGATAATTACAAGAATGATAAATCACAACAAGGTTCATGCCAAGGGGATGCGAGTTACAATGACCATGCATTCCATGCCATCTTTAAAGAAGAAGAAGAAGAAGAGAATGTTATTTGCGAGGAAGACGATGATGGGTATCCCAAGAGAAGGAACAAGAGGTTTAGGTCAATTGATCATATTTACAAGGTTACTCAACCATTTCTGCTGG